TCTTTCATATATCCCCCCGACCTGGGGTAGCTGGAGTGATTTTCCACCCTGGCCCTCCCTGGCTTTCCTGGTGACAGAAGAGCAGTCAATTGACAGTGTAATTCTTTGCTGATTTCTTACCCACCAGGAAAAGACTTGGGAACGTCCTAAGGCTTACAGAACAAAATCAAGTCAGTGAGGACCACCATGGCTTGACTGTAGAATGTTGAATCTATGTCATGTCTAGTTCCAAGGTGCTCTGGGAAACTGAAAGCTCTAAGAGAACTTAGAGTCCAAATTCATTCTCCTTTTCAGAACTTTGGACACCAGAAGCAGTAATAACAACCAGATTTTTACTGTTAACAATGTTGGGTTGTCATTATGTATGAAACATTGAATCTAGAACCCTTTTCATCTCATCTGAACCATACAATAATCAAAGATGGTTAGCACTATAAATACTCCTACAATAAAAGATGAAAAAAATTAGGTTTAGAAAAGTTTAAGACCTTCTATAAAGTTAAGAGTGACTGAAAGAGCCAAGATCAAATTCAGATGTTTCTGACTTCACAGTCAGTACTCTTAATCACTTTTACATTGTGCTTAATGTAGGCCAGTTTCTGCTTCTGGGCTAGAAGTCAGAGACCACCTGGTTAATAATGCAAAAATGAAAGGACTTCCCTTATTCTTCATGCCAGGAACAATCATCCACGGGTTTGGCATCTAGGTGAACTCACTTGATTTTATTAATTGCTTTTTTTCCTCTCCTTGCCACTTGAGACTTTGCTGTCATCTGCATACTGACAAACCCTATCTTACCTTAAGCAGGAATATGCTTAAGATTGGAAAAAAAAAAAAAAAGATTATCACTTTCCTTAAGTCAGTAGCTCTCCAGAGCTTTGCCAAACTTTTCACTCCCACTAGGCTCACTGCTATAGATACAGTTTCAAGGATCTCAAGTCTTGTACTTTGTAACCTGCTCTTACTAGAAAGAGCAGTTAGAGTAGTTACTATGAAGTTCAGTTCAACCCTTAAATATATTCTCAGGGTGTTTTTCAAAAAGGCCTTATGTAATACTACAAGAATAGAATGGAAAACACTGATATGCTATACATTCACTCAAGTTTCGCTAATACCATTGTAGAAGGTTAATTTATTCATTGTGATATGCAACCCACGATTAAATAAGATATCAACAACAGAAAAAGTTTGGTAAAGGTATGCAGAACTCTATCTTACTTTCACAATTTCACCATAAATTTAAAATTATTTCAAAATGAAAGGCTTTTAAAAATATAATAAACCGAATATTAAAGGCAGCATTACTGATGAAATGAATGCACTTGAACTTAGAATCTTGAATCATTTTCATCAATGAATTATTATTGGTAGCAACAGCACAAAGTCTTCCAGTTCAAAGTCACAAAAGAAGAACATGTCTTGCAAGACAAGGCTTTAATGAAAGCTGCACATAAAAGAAAGTTTGATCATGATACTTCACATATGGGTCATAAATATACAATACAGCATTGTGGTAAATGGTGTGTGGGGGGGAGAGGAGGAAGTAGAAAAAATGTACACAGTAAGGAAGAAAAAAGGAAAATATAAGAATAAGATGAAGCTGAAATAGACAACAAATAATCATTTCTTTTATTCATTTAGGTTCAGTAGAAAAATTTGCACATTTGTTTAGGCAACTTGACAACATAGAGAACATAATATACCAGAGTGATCCTCAAAAAAAAAGAAAAAGAAACGAAAAAAACTTTTCCAAAGGAAGTTTAAGAAACACCCATACAAGAGTTATTCAGTATGAACAGAGCATTACAGAAGAGTTTTTAAAATCACTAAAAGGATATTCAGAGCCTGCAGGAAAGTTGGTAAGAAAGTTTAAAGGGTGACTAGATCCACAATCAAGGATTTGAAAGTCTTATTTAAGGACAGTGACTATTTTTATTTATTTATTTATTTATTTTTTTTTTTTTTTTTTTTTTTTTTTGGTACCTGGGATTGAACTCGGGACCTTGTGCTTGTGAGGCAGGCGGTGAAACCACTGAGCTAAATCCCCAGCCCTCTATTTTTTATTTTTATTCCTAGGACTAGATAAAGAGATTTGTCCAGTTTAGAACCTCTTTTTACATATAAGGAAGAAGATCTTGAAATAACAGGTGAGAAAATATCTCAGGAGATCAGCAAAGGTTATTATCATATTGTCTTTAGATGACTCCAAAAGAGACTGCTTTTTATAAAGGTTTAATGTAAAAGAACAGAGAAGGAATCAATGGTTGATTTAGGGTCTTTTCCATCTCGTGGAATCAAAGCATATACAATATGTAGTTGCTGCAACATTTCTTTGAAGAGTAGTTGCTAGAGAGGAATTGGGCATCACTATTCTAGAATAGAAAGCATCAGTCACATCATAAAACTGGTGCAAAAAAAGAAAAATCCCTTGACGGATCCAGATTTCTAACCTCTTCCTATTTCAGAGATTTTCAGAGGACATATGACCATGAACCTGCAATTTAAAAGACAAGCTGATCTGCCACTAAGTGCCAATTTTTATCCCATAGAACAACTGAGATAAACTTTGGAGAAAATAAATCAGGACCCCAAACCAGAATCTTAAAAAATAATAATAATAATAATAATAATGCTGCTACTCCTCCAACGCTTTATTTTTCAAGAGGCATATCCATTCACATCCTATTTATGCTACTCTTACATGGTGAAATATTTAAGATAAATAATTCAGTTTTCAAAATTCATATTTTATTATTATTTGTGAGAAAACATAATAGTGTAATATGTATTTTTACTTCCTGTTTTTAAACTTTACCGTTATAATCTACCCATCTCACTCAAAAAGCCTGGGAGAACCAGATTCCACTTTATCCTAGTTTGTCTTCCATTAATAATTTAGTAGAATATGCTGGTCAAATACCCAAAGGTCTTCCCACAAATGAAACTAGGATTTGCTAAGAAAAATCAATTTATAACTTAGTTCAATCAAAAATAAAAACAGTTACAAAGGTCTGAACCTTAACCATCCTCAAACTCACAAGAACCATTAGGAGAGTACCAGAGACAAGCAAGGGTTAATACAGCTGATTTCTAGGTTAAGAGAAGGATGTATCATAATTTTTAAGGCAAACACCTGGAGGGAGAAAAGTAGTATTTTGTTTCCATTTCCAGAAATTGCAGACAAACATGAAGCAAATCACATCATTGGAATACTCAATTATCTGAACATGCTAATTAACTAAATGTAATCAACCTGCTTTCAGTCCTCTCTTCACCGGCTGTAATATTTCAGAGCATTGCCTTTCTTATGCCCCACAACCGGTAGAACATTAGACAGTCTGCATGGTGCAGCAAAGAGAAACAAATAAGCACAGATTTTTGCTGATCGCAGGAATTTCTCATGCTCAGGGTATATGAGCAGACAATATGTAAATGGCAGCACTGGCTGTATATTTTAATTATTCTCCATGCCTATTTTTGCAAAAGACTTAAAGTTCAATTAGGCAACATGATGTTCAGTTACGGTTATTCCATAAAACCGAGCAGTCATTTAAAGTAGTAAATATGCAGTCATGACAGAATTAAATATTCATGAAATCAGGAGCAACTGGAAAACTGAGGATATTAGAATATTAAAATTCATCACAGTTTTCACAACGTAAATCTCCTATGCATTTGTGAAGACTAGAGTGTGTTCAAATTCCAGTTCCTTGGTAGGCTGCCATTTAAATAACAATATTGATTTTGGTAGATGAACAACAATCTTGACTCTTAGCTCAGTTTCAAAATGCAAAACAATTTGAACATTTGCAAATCCAAACTTGTTAAATGAGTTGGCTCCAAACACAGAAGAGCAACATTCAATGTGATCTTGATATGTTTGGGGTAATTGTTTAATCTACTTGTGTTTTTGGAAAGATCCAGCAGAAACCGAAGCAATCTCCAAGGAGGAGCTCTTCAAGAGATGCTTCTAACCACCAGAAGTGCCTCTTTTCCCAAACATTTCGTTACATGAGCAAAAGTGAAAAGTAGATTGACTATTCATTGGTTCTAATATTCCGATTTGTTGAACCACTTTCCCACAATATTAGCCAGTTTCAAAATGTATTAACAAATACACGTGTACACTTTACACAGATACAATTAAACAACATCAGCTTCCACAAAACTAAAGTCCAAGTACCTATGGAGACAACAGAAGGCTGAGACAAAGCTGTAATAAATACACTCTATTAATATTACCAAGGCCTTATTTTCTATGCCACTTCCTCTACAATTTCCTCAGCAGAAGAAACATTAGCACTAGAGAATGGCATCTGGGCCATTTCTTACTGAAATTCAATTACCTGAACAACTCCTCTCTGCCCAGTAAGTAGCAGCTGTCCTCTAGTCTACAATGACACAGCAGGGCTGCAAACGATTTGAGGGGTTCACCTGCTGTCAGGCTCCTGGTCCCTGCTGTCCTAAGTAAGAGGATACCAGGTGAGGAGAACATCCAGCCTAGAGCTGGGTTAAGCAATGTTCTCCATTCTGCAAATGAACCAAACTTTGCTCCCATTGTTATCTTTAGGTTGATGTCACCTCGCTCCAGGAGTCTCTGAAGCCACTTGGCAGCTCCTGAAGACGTGTTTTCTCTAAACCAGTATCATCCAGTACGCCTCTGTTCAACCGTGAGGGCAAGCAAAGGTCTCCACACTGCTCCCAGAGGTGCCCTGCTCTGTCCTAACCATCACATCGCATGTACCAGAAGACTTTTCTCTGCACACATCACTGAACACCGAAACCAGGACAGACTTCTGCACACGCCTTCCAGTTGGGAAAGTCACTATCGCCCATGGATTACCTGCCATCCCACGCCACCTCCACATCTGCCCCCCCCCGCCCCCACGCGAGCGAGGTAAGGGGGTTGGGGGAGCAGCGGAGGGGTTAAAGTGACAGGCACTATGCGAGCTCCTCGATTTCGTTCAAAAGATGTCACAGCGGCGACACCGTGGACCTACCTTGCTCTCGCCTTTCTCGCCGTTGGGTCTCCTCTCGGGACCTTCGCTGTCCTCAGCGCCTGCACTCTCGCCGGGCAGTTCATCCTGAGGCAGAGGCTGTTCTCGCTGCGGCTGGGGCTGGGTCCGTGATGCCGGCGCCTGGCAGGCTCCGCCAGCCCCCTGGGAGCGGGGGATGGGCTCCGGGCGCGGAGAAACTCCCTCAACATCCATCTCCATCTTCCCATTCAACTGGAGGGCAAGACAAAAGCGGAGCGGAGACTTGGCAGCGGCGCCCGGCGGCTCCTCAGCTGCCCGCGGCACGCATGGCTCGCCGAGGAGGGGCCGCCTCCCGCGCGCCCTCCCTCCTGCCACCCTTCGCCCGCGCTCCCCGCAGCCCCGCTCTTCTGCTCGGCTCCGGCACTGGCGGCGCCCGGGCCGGGGAGCGGCGGGAGCGGCGGGAGCAGCGGGAGCGGCGGCGCGTCCTTGGAGCGGTGGCCTTCCGGCGCCCCCGGCAGTCCCGCTAAGCGGAGCGCGTCTCGGCGGCGGCGCCTCTGCTCCTCCGCGCGCACGGCCCGGGGACGCCCGGGGACCTGCGCGCTCTCCAGTGGGCCTCCGATGCTCGCCGCCTTCCAGCTCTCCTGGGGCCCCGTGGCGCTTCCCCTCCCCTCCAGCCTTCCGAACAAAGTTACTGGAAGAACAAACCAGATCGCCGGGATCTGCCGGACCAAAGTGGCAGGGATAGGGAACGTCGGGTGTCCGCGAAATCCACCGTCCCCGGGCTGACCACGCGCCGACCCTCATTCCTACCCTCCCCTGCGCACAGGAGCCAAAGGAAGGCGGGTTTCCCGACCTGGGCGAGGTGGCGGCGGGAGGACTGGGAGAGGGGCGCGTGGGGGGCTGGAGGCTGGTGAGCCTGCCCGGACCCCCAGGTGACCCCCACCTCCGAGGCCCCCTCCCTCCCCGGCGAGCGAGGGCCAGTGAGTCCCAGAGCTCCGCTCCGAAGTGGCCTGGCACAGCCCAGCCCCGCTCCAGGGCACCGGAGGAGAGGAGAACACGGCGGCAAATTCCGGGCAGGAAATCGACCTAACCTTGCCTCCGGACCCATCGCGGGTTAGAACTGGGCAGGGGTGGGGCCCCGCAGGGCTGATGAGGACCCGAGTCTCCCGTGCGCGGGAAGGTGGCGTGAAGGTCCGCAGCTGAGGGGCGGCGGGGGAGGAGGAGGGAGAAACAAGGAGTAGCTGCCAGGCTTTTCCGGCAACGCGCCCCGGGGTGGGCTCCAGCTGGGCGCTGTCTCTCCCAAGTGGGGAGTTCTCCGGTGCTGCCGGAGCTAGACTCCAGGAAGCTCCGCTGGGGACCCTACGGACAGGAGCAAACTGCGTCCGCAAACATGGAAGAGACAGCGGGGAGAGACTCGGAAATCCTTACCCTGGGGCTCACCGTCAGTCAGGTATCAGCGTGACTTCTACATTTTCACACCACTTGGTCCTGGGGAGTAGCTTACAACTTCAGTAGAACAGCTAAGTGAACTCGACAAGTCTAAGAAGGACCAACTCTGGAGAGAAATAGCGGGCTATTAAGAACCTGTTTAGTATTAAATAGAGCCTATTGTTCTGGCTTGGGGTTCCATCATGCCCCCAAATGGATGAACTATTCATACATTTCCTAACAGAGGGTAGCTTTTTCTCTCAACATATAATGTAAAACAGATAACACTTGCCCAATGAAACTGGAAAAATTTCATTGTTCATCTCATGTCTGCTTTGCATTAATTTAAACACAACTTGCACGCTATTCCAATAGATGCACAAGAGCACATCATTAGGGTTCATCCTTCACTGAAATCTCTTAATCTCTGACTTTGCATGTAAGTGTGACAGAAATTAATTGCCACTTTAATCAGTGCAGACAGCCAATTAGGATAATGCAACATGAACGTGCTTTTGGAAAGAAAAAGTTTGGGGACTGAATTACTCGATCTCTTTTTCTTCAACATTTCTATTGATAGAGCAATACTATACAATATGACAGGCTCTTGCCTTGCCTCCATGGTTTTTTCCCCACAGAATGATTAGTTCCAGAAATGTAAGAGTTTCTGGTGCCGGGCAGCCTCCTGCCTATTGTATCAAAATGTTTTGCCTGGGATTTAGCTCAGTGGTTCCACCGCGTGCCCCGCAAGCTCAAGGACCGGAGTTCGATCCCCCGTTCCAAAAAAAAAAAAATGTTTTGTAACTATTTGAACTTGTGACCTCTCAGGAATGTTCTGTCAAACTCTGCCTGTTACAAGAATGTTCTGTTAAACTCATCCCCTCTCAGGAATGTTCTGTTAGCTCCACCCCTCTCAGGAATGTCCCATTAGCTCCGCCCCTTTCAGGAATGTTCTGTAACTCCGCCCCTCTGCTTCTGTGAGCATGCTCACCTACCCTTGTAGATCACTATATAAGGAGCCTCTCCTGAAGTAGGAACTCCTCACGGCCTGAGGGTTTTTCCGCTGACCGCAGGAGTCTTGTTTTCGAATTGCGGTAGCTGCAACACTGAGCTGTAACACTTGGCTATGCCCCACCAAGCTATTACGCTTTGCCACAACACTATAAACTGGATTTCAAGTTGGGGTTAAAAAAAATAATAAAGTGAGTTTTGTTTGTTTTGCGGTACTGGGTGTTGATCCTAGGGCCTTCTCACTGAGCTACATTCCCAGCATATTTATATATCAGAGTTTCAGTCACTAAGTTGCAGGGGCTGGATTCAAAATTTGTGATTGTCCTACCTCACCTTCTCAAAGGACTGGGATTAAAGGCATGAACCACTTGGCCTGGCTTCACTATACGTTTAAAAGACATTATGACCCCATATGTAGTAAGGTACCAGTCAAGGAAATAAATATACAGCTATGTCGCTTTTACGATGTTATTTACTCTCCATTTCCTCTCCAGCACACAGGTAATAAACCAACAATTCTTACAGGATTTTTATTATGGTAAATTAGATTATCTGTGTAATGTGCTTAGCAAATCACATAGCACCTAGCAAGAAAACCCAACAAGCATTCATTGTTAAACTGAGAAAGGTAAGATGATAAAAATTCACCTTGGTCATTTATCAGAAGACCTTGATTTAGGAAGAAGAAACTACCAGTTTAATTAATCTTCAAATTTTCTAAAAGATATTTGGCATCATCAGAAAAGAAAGTCCCTTCTGAAGACAGAATAAACCATATTGTATTATGCAATAAAGTTTTGAATTTGACAGATTTTTCTTCTACAATATAAAAGTAAAAATCACAAGTCAGTTCAGACAGGAGCTGGAATAACTGACTGGTAAGTTATTATTCTTCCATGCCTGTTACTTCCAAAATGTGTTTGTGAACTTCTTTTGAGGCTTAAATGAAGATTAAATCCAAAGAAAAATAAAATGCTTCAAATAAATTTGTTCTAAATTTATTCATGTGCTTTTAAAGATTCCTATTATTAAATGCAGATATTTCTCTTTCTTTTGCCCCTGTTTTTTGGGGCACACAGATTTTTTTTTTAGCATCTGTCATAAGTAAATACAGGCTGAGAAAATATACTACATTTCAAAACTGTTGATTGCACCTAATTATGCATGTAAATTGCTACTTCAAGCATGTAGACAGCTTGCAACATTTTGAAAATTTTGCCCTACTAGTCATCTGAGGTATTTGTGTTACTATTTTGCAGTTGCCTTAAATGACTGTTCTTCTCCCTATTAACTTTCCATTAATGATGGGTCTATGAATAAGTTTGACCTTTTGCTGTCTCTTTCTCTGATGCCTCAAATTTAGTAAATCAGCACTTTTAACAAAATCACCCTTCCTATTTATACCAGACCACTTGATTTTCTGTCACTGAGACGAATTTACAGTGTCCTAAGAGCCTAGTCTGTCTAACCCCTTGTTACTCAAAATATGGTCCAGAGCCTCAAACCATCTAGCAGTTGAGTCAAAATGCAGTACTAGTCCCCACCATAGGCCCACTGAGCCAAAACCTGCATTTAATAAGATCTCCAAATGATTCGTAACACATTCAAGTTTTATTTTCCTATGTTATAATTTTTAGCCTATTACCATAAAATACTACTGAAAAAAACTTATTAGGAAAACACTTTGTGATACCCTTTTTTTTCCACAAGGCATTATTTTGAGAATAATGCCCTGCCTACCCTTCTAGCCTCTATCTTACTGATATATAATGAAAAGTTCTATAATTAAGATTATATCTATGATATACATGGCTCATAACTTCCTATTGGAAGTGTACAATTTTCTAAAATCAAAATGCATTAACCTAAAAAGTACTTTATGTAATCCATGTAAACATGTGAAAAACTTGATTATTGATAACCTTGAGACTTGAAAGTTCATAATTTCTTCCTGCTAGCATTATCAATGTCCTTGGTTACAGTGCAAACAAAAACTGACAAGTCTAAGTCTATGCAGTGATAATCTTCTAAAGCTTCAACAATTTTAAGAAATTTGGACTTAATTATGTGCCTCAATATTTTTAGGAAATATCAGAAATCATTACTAGAATTTCTTTGAAATGCATGCATATATAAATTAATACATTACTTTTTGAAAAGCTAACTGGCACAGTGGTTCTCAACTTTAATAAACATGAAGTCATCTGGAGAATGTGGTTGAATGCAGATTATGACTCAGCAAGGTCTTGGGTTGGGCTTGAGAATCTACATTTCTGACCAAAAAATATGATTCCAGTGCTTCTGGTCTTTAGACCTAAAAGATACTTTATTTTCTTCAATGGTTCTCAAATTTTATCACATAAGGAACTTTCAAAAATCTTTATTACTCAGACTAAACCTCAGATAAGTCATATGAGAATCTCTGGAGGTGGGATTTAAGCATCAGTAGTTTTTAAACCTTTCCAGATGATTACAGTGTTTAGCCAAGACTGTGAATCAGTTCTGGCAATGATTCTCCAACTGTGATCAGTAGCACCACCTCAAAACTTGTTAGAAATGCAAATTCTAGTGCCCCACCCAATCCTACCTGCCCAATCTGAAATTCTAGGGGCAGAGTCTGGCAATCTATGTTATAACAAGGCTGGATCATGATGCATGTTTAGCCTTGAGAACCACTGCTATTGTCAAAGCTTCTCTGTGGCTGCATGTTAGAGTCCTGGGAGTGTTCAAAAAATAGTGATTTCCCCTTTAATTAAACAAAAATCTCAGGGTGCAATTTAACACGGTAATACTTAAAAGTTCCCCCAGGTGATTCCAATTGTGCAGACAGGATTGAGAAACATTTCTATAGCCTGAATTTTTATATATGAAAACCATGTTTCCATGGGGCAGCAGTTCCTTCTGTGCTAGTTAAAAAAAGAAAAGAAAAGAAAAAAGAATGTCCTTCCTGAATCTGAAAAACAAATGTGCCTGCAAAGATAAATTAGAGTACCACCTATTACAGATGCAAATTAATGTACCCAATATTTTCTAATGAGATTTTTTTTTTCTTTCTTGGTAACATGACAGCAACTTCTACTTTTGGCAGCAGGACTTTAATGTAAAATGACTCAGTTTTATGGGCTATGAAATGTACCCTGGTACCAACCTGCAATAACTAAGGGTTCTTTCATCAAGTTATTTCACTAACTTCATGGGATATCCCTGTAACACAGGTAGCTGCTGTGAAGGGCTTTAGTACCTCACTTCCCAAAGTGTGGTTTGCAGATGAGTGACACCAGTACCACCTGGGAACTGGCTATGAACTCTGGCTCTCAGGCCCTACCCTAGACCTACTTCATCAGTTTGCATTCTGAGATGCCCAGATGGTAAGAAAGTATATATAAACACTGAAAAGCACAGCTCT